GCCGGAGTCCAGCGGGAGTCCAGGGGGTCCAAAGGAACCCCAAGGGAGTGCAGTGGGAGCCCGGGGGACCCCGGGGGAGGTCAGGGGGCGCCCAGGGGAGCCCAGGGGAGCCCCGGAGGAGTCCAGTGAGGAGACCCGGGGAATCCCAGGGGGAGCCCGGGGGCGCCCCGGCGGTCCCTGCCGGCGCCGGCAACCTGTGCGAGTGGGGAGCGCGGCGCCCTCGGGCCCCCGTGCCTGGCCCGCGGGGACGGCGGGAGGGCTGCAGCTCAGGGCTGTGCGCCTCGGGTTTGGGGGCGGAGGGGGTAAACGTCCACCCGGGAAGGGGGGAAGGGGTGGATGGCTTTGCCCGGGGCCGGGGGGGAGGGGGCCTGCACCCCCTCGCGCGGGCTTCGCGGCGGCGCCGGCGCGACCTCTTCACGCCCGGTGCCTACAAGTTGTCCCCGGTAGCCCATCAGTTTTGCAAAGTCGTGGCTCCCCGCCGAGGGGACCCCTCGCCTCCGAGCCTGAGCCGCCTTCCTGCTGGCAATGCCTAGAGACCTCGGGAATAAAGGGTTTCTTCGCATCTCCCCGACGTTTAAACGTCTTCCTGGAGGCTTCTTCGGTCTGCGGAGTGTAGGATTAGGTGCTTCCTCTGGAAGAGGAAGAGAGAGGGGTTTTCTTTTTATCTAAGAACAAAAGCGCAGGGCATTAATATGGGCATCGGAATAGACTTAAGTTGATAACTCTCAGCTCCTGGAAAGAGGCCAGCCATCTGCCCGGTCTAAAACGCGGGCATGAATTCGGGTTCCCTCTGAATTTAGGCGGATGCAGGCCCGCCAGCCAGCCCTTCTGCAAATGCTAAGAAAAAGCATCCACGCGATGCCATGTGGAGAAGTGCTTTGGCTGGACCTGTGATGTGCGCTGGGGAAGGGGCGACCTGGCAGGGCCGGCTCCCGAGAGGAGAGTGAGGGGACAAAGACGGGCGGACCAGGGTGTTTCATCCCTCCTGGCCTGTTAGCCTCCCGCGGAGTGGTGACCAGCTCCGGAGCAGGTAAAACCTTAGCTCTGTCCCAGGAAAGGGTTGCTCAAGATGACGCCTGCACCCCTGCTTTTCAGGGGTCGTATCTTTTTTCTTCAGGGGGAGAAGTAACCTCTAGCAAATCACAATACTTTAAAGGTAAAAAGATTCCAAGTTCGAACGGGGGAAGAGATGTAACTGCTTTCCTGGGGAAAAGGGGGGCCTGGCAGGTTAGAGCTGGGGATAAACTGTAACCTAGACGCATGGTTGGCTTCTTTAATGAAGAAGCTGCCCTCCTCCACTGCCAGCTTTGACATTATCTGAAGTTATTTACAAAGCCTGCCCTCCCCGCCCCCCACCCGCTGGTGTTCTCTGCCTCAGCCCCTTCAGTCACCATCTCATTAATAGCAGAAGAAAGGACTTCAGGGTTTTTCATGCCTTTCCTCATTTTAGCTGCTCTGTTCCTTAGAGAGTTATTTTTTCCTGGAGTATTTTAGGCAGCGCTTTCTGGGCTGTTGGTGATGGAGATATTTGCAGCAGGGGTGGGGGCTCACCTAGCTAAGTGCACATTCTTTCCCTGGTCGTG